AGTTTAAGCAGTAATGAAGGGCTGATGTAATGCCTACGGCACGTACTGTCTGACCAACTCTCAGCACTCTGTAAAGACAGGATCACAACATTTAAAAGCAGAGGAAACAGGACTTCTGCAGCTGACAGGAATAGACACCAGAGTAAGAACACGACTCAAGGGAGAGTTTACAATGACCACGATAAAGCTTATCCTCGATGGATGTATTTAATGACAAGAACAGTTGAATTGACTGTAAGTGAGAGCTTTGTTTCAGAGTAAAACTTTAAGGTGGGTGACATTAGAGCCAGAGTATTACAGATTTGTGAACAATATTTGAGAGAAATAGGCCTTTTGTGTACATAGAAAAAGTCTTAGATCTTTGAGTTCAGCTCATGAAAAATGGGGGGAAAAACAAAAGGGTTGCGTTTATAATTTTGTTCAGTATATATTGAGCGATTCTATAATTTGGCAATCTGGAAATTTGGCTTCTAAACTGGAGCCCAATTTAACAATGTCTGTTTTTTCCACTGTCTGTACAGCTTAAATCAGGGGTGTCCAGACTCTGTCCTGGAAGGCCAATGTGTGAGCGATTCTATAATTTGGCAATCTGGAAATTTGGCTTCTAAACTGGAGCCCAATTAACAATGTCTGGTTTTTCCACTGTCTGTACAGCTTAAATCAGGGGTGTCCAGACTCTGTCCTGGAAGGCCAATGTCCTGCGGAGTTTAGCTCCAACTTGCCTCAACACACCTGCTTAGAAGTTTCTAGTATTCCTAGTAAGGCCTTGATTATCTGGTTCAGGTGCGTTTGATTTGGGTTGGAGCTAAACTCTGCAGGACAGTGGCCCTCCAGCACCGAGTTTGGACATCCCTGTCTTAAATAGATAGTTCACACAAAAATGAGAATTCTGTCTTCATTTACTCACCCTCATGTTGTTCAAAACCCATAAGACTTTTGTTTGTTTTCAAAACACAAATGAAGATATTTTAAATGAAGTGTGATAGATTTCTACCAACCAAAACGTTTAACTTCAAAAAGTTACTAAAGACATTTTAAAATAATCCATATGAATCAAGTGGTTTAATCCAAGTCTTCTGAAGAGACATGATTGCTTTATGTGATGAACAGAGTTCATTTAGGCATTATTCATGTATACACATTGATCAAGACACATCCATATAGCACATCAAATAAGGTAAACAAAACTCAACCATACTTGCCTTTCATTAAACATATCTTCATTTGTGTTTTGAAGATGAAGGGAAGTGCTATAGGTTTTGAACAACTTGAAGGTTAGTAAATAACAGTTTTCATTTGTTGGTGAACTATCCCCAACCAAATGTAGGAAAAATGTTGCTCATTCTCGACGGTATGTAGTAGTTGTAATAAAATCATACCACTTCGTACAATTGTGTGCAGAACTGTGCACAATGTTTAGCTTCATTTCAGACAGAATATATATACCCCCGGGGCCGACATCTCATAATTCAACATGGTCCAGCGTAACACAGATGTGTCTGTAGGCTGTCCATCCACTCTTCCTTGAACAGAGCAAGGTTGAATTTGATGTAAAACTTTCCAAAGCCTGGATACTACAGCGGGGGTGTTGTGTGTGTGTGTGTGTGCGCGTGCTCAGGTCTCAGGGGACAGGAGCATCTTCAGCACTTGTGCACAATACAGCACAGCGTCTTGAGGGCTAATGGAGGCAGTGAACAGTGTTCAGATGAGCCAGTCTTTACACACACTCAGACAAGCGCACACACTTGTACGCCTGCACTCCATCAACCAGACACCCTTAATACTACAATATATTACAATTAATTTGGTCACACTGCATTTTAAGGTCCATTTTAATTTTTAATAAACAAGACAATGTTTTACTAATATGAATGCTAATAAGCAACTAGTTAATAGCGAGAATTGGTCCCTAAACTAAAGTGTTACCATTCATTTTACAGTCACTGAAGTATTTGAATACCTCCAACCTTTAGGTCTTCCATTCTCAAGAGGCCTTTCATAATACAGATGGTTCCAGCTTTAAAAGCAGATTAGATGAGCTACATTTAAAGTGATCAAGAAAGCAACAAGCAATGATTTTACCACAGAAAGTGAGTGTTGTTAAGCTTGATGCAGAATGGACCTTTTTTAATGGTAAACTGACAGTAACCCTAGTCACCTTATCAAATTGTGGTAACAGAAATGATAAAATACACCAATGTTTAATATATATATTACCGTTCAAAAGTTAGAGGTCTGTAAATTAATTTTTTTTAAGGTGACATATCATGAAAATCTTACTTTTCCAGGTGAGAATTGGTCCCTAAACTAAAGTGTTACCATTCATTTTACAGTCACTGAAGTATTTGAATACCTCCAACCTTTAGGTCTTCCATTCTCAAGAGGCCTTTCATAATACAGATGGTTCCAGCTTTAAAAGCAACACAGATTTTACCACAGAAAGTGAGTGTTGTTAAGCTTGATGCAGAATGGACCTTTTTTAATGGTAAACTGACAGTAACCCTAGTCACCTTATCAAATTGTGGTAACAGAAATGATAAAATACACCAATGTTTAATATATACATTACCGTTCAAAAGTTAGAGGTCTGTAAATTAAATTTTTTAAAGGTGACATATCATGAAAATCTTACTTTTCCAGGTTTTAAGCGCTATAATCAGGACCCCCCGGTGCATCTACCAACCAAGGAAACGTGAAAAAGATTAACCCAGTAACTTTGTTTTGGTAAGCCTTTTTCTGCAAGCGTCTGAGAAAACGAGCGCATCTGATTTCGCTCCCTTGGCGACGTGGCAAAGGGATCTCATTACAATATTACCGCCCCTTAATCTGTAAGTTTTCACCCACGGCGCTGTCATTTTGATTTCGCAAGCGACAGTGGTGTACCAGCTCCAATGCCATGGCGAAAGTTTGAGCAAAGCATGCTAACTGTTCTGTCTTTGGCTGCACAGACGAGCACAGAACACTATTTAGAGTCTCACCCTTAGAGCAGACAAGAGAGCAGTGGATGTATTGATTTATTTAATGTATATTGCTGCTGCCACACAGATCTAAAATAAACA